TCTGAAACACCATTGCCGTGTCCAACCATTGAGCTGTGCAGCTTTGCCACATTAGCGCCGTTGTGTCGTAATGCCCACGAGGTTCTCTTCCGTGAGATCCCATGCAGAAAGCATATCTCTCAGGCCCTGTGCAATCATCTCTGTCATGTGATTAACTGGAAAATATGCCGTCTCAAGGCATCTGTTGCGCAACTTCCGTTCATCGTCATTGTAGTGCAAAGTAAGGCTCAAGTCCAGGTCTATCCATCGTCCTACTTGACCAGAGATCAGATGTGGCTGCAAAGTGCTGAACAGACTTCAGACTTCATACATGTTTTGTACATGTTGGGCAGTGCAGTTTGGAAAAATATGGTCATGATGGCACAGTGTTTCTTCTGTCGAAAGTCTTAACAAGGTGTTTAAACCCACTGCGCTCCACTGTCCCAGATAGCACAGGTGCATCTGCAAGATGTAAAGATCACTTCATCTGGAAAGCATCTGCTGTGTACAAACATCTGATAGACGTCTTTAAGATGTAAGTTTTACATACATTCTAAATCATAAACATCTCAAATAAAATTTCTAAACGTCTATTTGACATTTGATAGGAAACGTCCTATAGATGTATTGCAGATGAGCAAACAATACAATATTTCTTGCAGATGTAAATGCAGATGTCAAATAGACGTCTCCGTGATGTACGTCTGCTATCAGGGGTAGCTATACGAGCCATATCCTTCGTGATGTAGTAACAGATGGTGTCAGTTCTTTCCATCTTCCTAAATCCTTTTCAGACTATGTAGCATTTGTAAATGCTTGTGTTATCAACACCTGCTTTGTGGAGGCACTTCTTGCTGGTCGCTTGTCAGTCTCTTTTTTTGAGCCATGCACTCAATTCAATTCAAGTTTATTTGTTGACGATACAAATCGTTGCAAAGCAACTTTATAGCAAATTAAGTTTCTAAAATATTTAGTAGTAGCTTATCAGTGGTGACTGTCAGTTATCTACATATGGCAGAAATGTACGGAAAAATCAATTAAAGATGTAATCAAACAGACGATGAACACTATTAACAGCAATTATTATATGATGCAATCAAACTTATAGCAAAATGTGGTAGTTCTGTATGTTGTTTCAGGGTTGGCATCATCTGAGGCCCTCTGAGGGTTTGGCATCATCTCTTCTCAGGTGTTCTGGATCCAGACTGAAGCTTGTGTAAATCCTAGTTACCACGGGATGTCAATCCCTTGGCATTTACAGAGAAATAAATAGAGTCATAATTAGCGTAGCTGCTGTTCCAACCAAGCAAAATTGATTTGTTTAACCCAGACTAAAGAATAATAATGTGCATTTGATCAGATATAACTGCAGTACAAGATTATGAGATGCATTATTTGAATGCTTGGCCAAAGAGATAATCTTTTAAATTTTTAACACACTCTGTTAGCTTAGATAATTTAGAAGTTTCATCTAGTCTTGTTGAGATATATAGTTGAGTATCATCAGCATAACAATGGAAACTAATCTAATAATAATTACCAAGGGGCAACATGTATATTGAAAATAGCAGAGGACCTAGGAAAGATCCTTGTGGCACTCCATATTTTACTGGTGATAATTGAGATGACTCCCCATTTAAATGAACAAGGTGGTAGCGATCGGACAGGTAGGATCTAAACCATCTTAAAGCCTGCCCCTGAATACCTGTATAGTTTTGTAATCGATCTACGAGAATGTCATGATCTATAGTGTCGAACGCAGCACTAAGATCAAGTAAAACTAGCAATGAGATGCAGAAGCAAGTCATTTGTAATAATGAACTGTTTAATGCACTGCTCATATTTGCTTACGTGATTGCGCTCCAAGTGTTGAAATAGATTGGAGGTATTACCTTTGGTTGTTCTTTTTTTTCTGCCGTGTTTACATTTGACTTAATTTTGTTCAGTGTCTACTTTACTGAAGCCAAAATTCATTTTCATTCAATGAATGCATGTGACACTCGAGCAGCTCCATTTATAAGTCAAACTGAAACTTGCTGTGGTTGGATTTCTTTAGATCTGGAAAGAAATGGAGTTTCATCTGCTGGTGGACAAACAACTTGTGCATGCAAATCTATAACTGGACATGTGGTTAATGTGTGTTAGTCGGTGAATAGCAGGGGTGTGGACTAGTAGACGCGTCCCTGCGTGCTTGCGCTTGACTGGCAAAAAGCCAGAGACTGTGTTCAGGGAGCGCTGGATATACAGTATATGCTAGTAGAAATTAATGGAGTAATAGCATAACTTACGACAAAAGAATCGAGATAAGAAAAAAAAAAAGACACGATTCGTATATAGCTATCTCCGCTCGTGAAAAGCGCTGCCTTGCCCGTTTGATCGCCGCCCAGCAGAAACACGGAGCAGGCATGAGAAACGAGAGGCGCGGCCGCAATCCC